CAATCTATTTTAGAAACAATTATTATTAAACTCATTATTCTAGATAGTTTTTGTATATTCTCTCTCACCTGGGAGCACAATTAAAATAAAAATAATCAATAGGATACTGTCACGTTGATTTTCTGTTAACATTAAACTTTTTAGAAAATCCCATAATTGTATTTGTGTATTTTGCCATAATCCAATAATTAACCAACTTGTTATACAAACAAACAATAAATAAACTGTTCTTAATGTTGGTTTTGGAAATAATTGATTCATTGAATGTTGAATTTTTTCTTGTGCAAAATAGGTATGTACAAAACCAAATATGAAAAATAATAGAGCATTAAAAATAATTTTATTGAATAATGATAATTCATAGTCAATCCATGGTACATTAAAAAATGATCTGGTAAGTGATGGTATTCCACTAATTAAAAATAGTGGTAGATGCATATCACAAGCAGCCCATACAAATAAAATATGACACAAAAAAATACAAAATACTATATTTATCATTAACCATATTATTTTCCTCATCAAATTTAATTCATCACTTCTCACAGAGGATTTCATTTCTAAAAAGAATCAGAGAAGAGTCAAACTACGCAAATACAATAAAGCGAAAGAGGTACATAAGAAACAATGTTTGAATAAATGATAATAGAAAATGATTTTTTGTGATTTTCTTTTAGTTTTAAATAGAAAAATATATATTTTGTATAAAGACGACGAGAGGGCTTCGGCTTTGGTAATGTTTCTTTCATTTTCGTCATCTCAAAAGAGAGTGAGTCATTTACACTCAAAGAGACAAAACGACAATTTTTAAGAAAAAATTGAATCTTTTGTGTACAGTCATGGGAAGAAAAAGCAAAAAGCATTTAGACAAATACAAATGTTAAAAGCAATCAAGGGTGAGGGTGAGGGTGATCGACAACTATTAATAAATCGAAGAAGAAAAGAATCAAAGCGGACAAAACCACAAAAAGAAAAGAAAAAGCTTACCAAATTTTTTGACAATTGTTCTTTTTGATTTTTTGATTTTTTTGTGTACTAAGAGAAGCACGAAAGGTGTAATAAAGCGCAAGGGATAGATAAAGAACGATGCTTGAATAAATGTGAATAGAAAATGATTTTTTGTGATTTTGTTTTAGTTTTTAATAGAAAAATATATATTTGGTATAAAGAGGACGAGAGAGTTTAATAAAAAACAGAAATTGGAAAATGTACTCAAGAGAATTTATACGCGTTTCGAATATCTTCTTCAGTAAATGCTCGTTTGTAGAATGAACGTTGATGGACAGAAAAGTGGCTGTTTATATAGGAATTTGTTCATGCAGACGGAAAAATAAGAGAGGAGAGAAATGTTTTAATTTTGATTGTTTACTGAAAGAGAGAGTGAAAATTTTCTCAAATCCTTTATTAGAAGTGAAAGTTTTTGTTCAACGAGAAATAGAAATTTGTAAGAATCTGCTGAATTTTAGGCTGAAATGTTTTGGAGGCTGAGGGTGTATTTTGCCATAATACAATAATTAACCAACCTGGGATACTAACTAATAGTAACTAGTTCCTTTAAAAATAGATTGCTCCACGGAGCACTGGCAAAGCCGACAAGGGCATCCGTGTGACTGTATTAGGTCGAGATTCCGTAATGGCCTGTGGCATAAGTTCACTTAGTGCGAGTTCATGTGAGCAAGAATCTGCAACGAGCACCTTGTTAATATCATGTGACGTGTTAATATCCTAAGATTTGGTGCGTGTTGTTGTGGTTTGGGTTATCGATGTGTTGTAATCTAATGCGTAGTAGAATTAAGGTGTGTATGTACAGAAATAAGATCAAGTGCGAAACAAGTGAGGAAAGAGTGATGAAAAAGTTCCTAATAATGACATATTCGTATCCATGACAGCAATCTGTCAAAACATTGTATCGGAGCGCTTAAATCTAATATTGCAAGAAGAACAAAGAAAGAAAACTTGTCTCATAACCGCATGAACTAACGTTAATACTCAAGCATCAACTAATATTTAATCAGAAACATACTCATTGTCTGTTATTCTAAATAAAAAATTAACATTCTTTCTATCTATTTCAAGGTCTCTATGCTCCATTCAAGTTTGATATATTTGAATTTATTGGTATAAAACAGCTATTATACTCATGCTCTTCAACATCAACCAATTGTCCATTGTCAATGGCAAATGCACCACGAACAACTGGCTCATCTCAGTTAATAACAACTGGTTTATTTCAGTTATGTCGCCATCCATTATATTTATTTACATTTCTTGCCGTCACAGTGTCACCAACAGTATCGTTGGATCGACTCTTATTTGCTATATATTCATGTGCTTATCTATCAATTGGAATACCAATTGAAGAAAAAAAATTAAAAATGATATTTGGTGAAGCATATGTTGAAGATAGAAAAAATACTCCAGCTATTATACCAGATTTATTCAGCCTTGGTACTCGAAAATCTAAAACAAAATACGTGTCTACTTGATTGCCTTTAACTTTTGTATTTCTCTAAATTACGTAATTGCTTTTTGTTCCCATAACAGTAAATACAACTCTCAATTGTTTTTTAAGAATTGTGCTGTTGTCTCTTACATTTTTAAACTGCATTGGCAACGACTCACCCTCTTTCATTCGCCTCGGCTTTGGTAATGTTCCTTTCATTTTCGTCTTTTCAGTTTTGGTCATGTGTTTCCAGTTTCTAGTGACCAGGTCATCGAAGTCAAGTCCATCTGTAGTTTTTCAGCGTTGGGTAACCATCTCCAGCGCCCTGTCTCGCGGCGTTTCAAATTCCTATGGTATTATAAGTTCTCGTGCTGTGCGACTACTGTCGTTTCGCTTGCGTCACTTGGGATCAGAACCTGTGGCGAAAATGGCGTCGTCAGATGCACCCTATCGCAGACGTACAGATATATGACGACTAAAATTCTGCTGTAAATTCCCAAAATTCTTGTTTCAGACTAAAATTTTCGTACCAATTCTCAAAATTCCTCTGTGACAGTACAATTCTCGTGGAGAATGTCTCAGTTATACTCTCAATTCCTATCACAAAGGTAAAACTCTCGTGGAAGAGTATGAACTTCTGGTGTTAATTCTCAAAATTCCCGTGTGAAACTAAAATTCGGGTGGAGAATATCTCTGGGATACCGTCAATTCCTTTGGTACAAATAGCATTTTTGTGCACGAGAGCGTATTAATTCTCAGAATCCCAGTGTTAAAGTAAAATTCTAGCGGAGAATGTCTCTGGGATACTCTCGAATCCTTTGATACAAGAAGAATTTTCGTGGCAGAGGTCAAAATTCAGGTGCTACTTCTCAAAATTGCCGCGTCACACTAAAATTCTCGTGGACAATGTCGTTGCGAAATTCTCAATTCCTTTGATACAAGTAGCATTCTCGTGGAAGAAACTAAAATTCTCCTCTTAATATTCAAAACTCGCGTCCGACAGTGAAATTCTCTTGGAGAATATCTCTGGGATACTCTCAATTCCCTTGATACAGCAAGAATTCTCGCGCAAGCGACCAACATTTTCGTGTTAATTCTGGAAATTCCTGTACGAGCGTAATACTCTCGTGGAGAATGTCTCCGTCCTACTCTCAATTTCTTGGATACAAGAAGAATACTCGTGCGAGGAACTAAAATTCCCCTCTTAAAACTCGAAATTCCTGCGTGAGAGTAACACTCTCGTGGAGAATGTCTCTGGGATACTCTGAATTCCTTTAATGCAAGTGGAATTCTCGTGGAACAGACTAAAATTCTGCCGTTAGTTCTCGAAATTCCTGTGTGTAACTAAAATTGTCAAAAAAAAGTGTCAAAATTCTCGCGGAGAATGTGTCAAAGATACTCTCGATTTCTTTGATACCAGAACAATTCTCCAGCAACGGACTAAAATTCCGGTCTTTATTCTCGAAATTCCCATGTGAGATCAAAATTCTCGTGGAGAATGTCTCCGGCATACTCTCAATTTCTTTGATGGGACAAATACACTTATTACACCCCCCTCATATATCGACTATTTCAGTTTAAATAGCCTCTGCGGAGTTCACTGAGTGCATTCTTAACAGTCTCTGATCGATAGATCAAGGCATATATGAATCAC